CCCTCTCCGCCCATTTATCTGCTGCACCATATATCTCACTACCTTTTTCTCTCCTTCCTCTGTTTTGGAAATTTATTCCTCTTTCGATTGCTTCCGTGCCATCTCTCTCACTCTGCATTTTTTTCCTTTTTTTTCATTGTTTGTCTGTCTGACTGTTTGTTAATCAAAACTACATGATATCTCTATTTTTAAACATTTATTCCTATTCTTTCTGTTCCTCTTTTTTGTCTCTCTTTATTATTCCCTTCTCTTTATTTTCCCTATCCCTCTCTTTCCCCCTCCCCCTCTCTCTCCCTTTCTTCCTCCCCTTCCCCCTGCTCTCTCTCTCTCTCTCTCTCTCTCTCTCTCTCTCTCTCTCTCTCTCTCTCTCTCTCTCTCTCTCCCTATCTATCTATCTCTCTCTTTCTCCCCCCCCTCTCTCTCTCTCTCTCTCTCTCTCTCTCTCCCTCTCTCCCTCCCTCCTCTTTCTCTCTCTCCTTCTATCCATTTATCCTCCCCCTCTCTTTCTCTCCAATTGTTCCACCTCACAAATAACGGAGTAAGAATTTTTCAGTGAAAAAAAAAAACAACAGCAAAAAACAAAAAAAGGGAAAAAAAATACAGAAAAAAAATACAAAACGAATAAAAAAAAATGCCAGCGAGCCTTTCCCCACACCTGCCGGCAAGACACACAACACCCGGCCTCATATCTATCGAAAATATGAATGCCTAATGAAATTGTGTTGACTCACAGCCGTCGCATTTCTTAGGGCGCTTCGGCTTTCTGGCGATGAGGGAAGCGGGCGCGCTGGACCCCCTCGCCCGGAAGGAGACAGACGCTCGAGTTATGCGTTGCTGTTCGTGGGGTCGAGACGTTTTCATATATGTATGCATATGATGTATAGATATGTGCATATACATATTTATAAACAGACACACACACATACACACACACACACGCACACACACACACATACACATATATATAGATTGATATATATCTATCTATCTATTTATATATAAGAATTATACACACACACACACACACACACACACAAATATATATATATATATATATATATATATATATATATATACTATATATATATATATTATATATACACACACACACACACACAATCATAGACATAGGCATTAATATAGATACAGATATAAGCATAGGTGCATACAAAGGTGCATACACACACACACACACACACACACACACACACACACACACACACACACACACACACACACACACACACACACACACACACACACACACACACACAAGGGCACACACGCAGCCGCCGAATTTCAATCCAGGAAGCTTGTTTTTAATTTCTGGAATCATCAAAACCATTTCCTTCAGCCGAGTTATTTTTAATAACAGTAACACCGGATCAAAGTATTTTTGTGCAACGTTTCATTTTGCATAAATATACATCGGTTATTGAATGGATTCCGGCCACTGTGATCCGTTATTCAGACATATTCGAATCAATAAGACAAACAAACGTTCAGTCGGATATTGTCTTTTTAGAAAACAAAAGAGTCACGAGGGCGATGCGCTTTTGTTTTCTTTTCGATGATCAAATTGCGCGCCAAGAGAATGAAAGGGATAATGAGTGTAAGGTTAATTTTCGAGGGGGGAAAATAATGTGATGTAAAATAAAGGAAAAACAAAATAAAAGAGGGAAAGGAAAAGAAAAGAACAGGAAAAAAATATACATAAATATTTTTATTATTACGAATGGATATAAAACTAATCAAATCATCTATATCCTTCTACCCTGTCAGCCCAAAGCTAATGCAAGTAAATAAATAAGGAAGAACAAGAACAGTAAGAAATTAAATTTGCACAGTTCTTCGTTAAGCTTGTCTGAAAGTTCATTTTTTTTTGCTATCCTTTATTTCAATGTAACGCTCTTGGAAAAAAAGAAAAGAATCGTATTCATCTGATGCTCGTCAAGAACCCTCCCCCCCAAAAAAAAACAAAAAACTTTATAGTGAGAGGGATAGATAGATAGATAGATAGATAGAAAGAGAGAGAGGAAGTGAGAGAGAGAGAGAGAGAGAGAGAGAGAGAGAGAGAGAGAGAGAGAGAGAGAGAGAGAGAGAGAGAGAGAGAGAGAGAGAGAGAGAGAGAGGAAGTGAGAGAGTGAGAGAAGGAGAGAGAGAGAGAGAGAGAGAGAGAGAGAGAGAGAGAGAGAGAGAGATGAGAGATGAGAGATGAGAGAGAGAGAGAGAGAGAGAGAGAGAGAGAGAGAGAGAGAGAGAGAGAGAGAGAGAGAGAGAGAGAGGGAGAGAGAGAGAGAGGGTGAAAAAATAATTTCGGATTATTTTTCACCTGTTTATACATCACTCATTCGAAAATGATATATAGTAAACAAAAATAAAGCATATGTAATTAATCAACCCGCAGCCGGGGATGGCATATACACATACATGCCTTGTCCACTGTGAGTTTAAATTATTAATTGTTTTTACACATAGATGGCTCCACATGTACGAAGTCACCAATGAGCCAATTACGAATACTACCTGTTTCACCTGTTTACCCTTTTCCTCGATTTTCGAAAAAAAAAAATTATCTGGTATCTACTATTGCTGTTGATAATGTCAGTAACACTAATGTCAATAATGCAGGTGACGTCACAAGGTTCACTAATTGACTCCTTTGTGGTTCAGCACAAGCAGAGCCATCTATGTGTAGAGACATTTCACTAAACTAACGTGAATACATTTTCCTGGTTTGGTTTCCCGCTTTGGTTTAGAAAAAAAAAAAAGTTCATACCAAGTTTATTCTTACGCGGTTATCTGTCGGAGAAAAAAGGGAAAAGATAAAAGAAGGAGAAGAAAGAAAGGGATTATTCTCTCCTGTGTCTCTATGATGCTCTTCCGATTTTTTTTTTATTGCTCTTCATATCATAGTTTCATTCTACCATCTATCCCTGTAGCTCTCCTTTTATATATTTACCAATCTGTCTCCCTCCCTACCTAACTACATATCCATCCAGCCATCCATCGGTTTATATATAAATATATAAAACATTTACACTCATACTCCTTCATCAGTTTATCCAAACGCTCGCTTTTGCATCTTGGGAGCCGAGGTGTGAAACATAGGCTCTCAGTATAATAAATTCAATTTTCTTCCCCGTGTCACATAAATCTACATTCACTTCACCACGGGAAATGATCAAACACTCCTTTGATATTGATGCAATTAAGACTGCTTGCGATGATGAATATGCATGTCAAAGCATCGTTGTATATGCATTAAATCATTGCAATAAACAAGGGCGGTGCTGAAAGTATATTTCTATCAGATGTTTATGTATGTCCAGATGCATAGGGACATACGAGTATACGTCTGCATATGCATATTTACAAAAACAAATGTATAAACTCAATCAAATTTAATTAATCACAGTGCATAAACGCATACATATACACACTCGCAAACACACACACACACACATACACATAATAACGAGATAGAGGAGATAAATAGATATATAGATAGATATATAGATGGTGGTTAAGTGTGCGAGTGAGTGAGTGTGTGTGTGTGTGTGTGTGTGTGTGTGTGTGTGTGTGTGTGTGTGTGTGTGTGTGTGTGTGTGTGTGTGTGTGTGTGTGTGTGAGAGAGAGAGAGAGAGAGAGAGAGAGAGAGAGAGAGAGAGAGAGAGAGATGTGATAGACACATATATACAAACAAACAAATAAGATGGACAAATGGACAGACAGGCAGACAGATAGATAGACCGAGAGGGACAAAGATAGGCAGACAGAGAAGTAAAGATGTAGGTAGATAGGTAAATACACACACACACACACACATATACATGTATATACATAGAAAGATAGATAGACAGATAAATAGATAGATAGATGGATAAACAGCCAACCAACCGGTCAAACAGCCAGACAGAGAGAGAAAGGAGACAGTTAGATAGATAGATAGACAGACAGATAGATAAACAGCCAACCAACCAGCTTCATAGAGAGAGAGATAGGCAGATGGGTAAACAGATAGAGAGATAAATAAAGGTAGAGAGACAGACAAACAGACAAACAAGTAGACAGAGACATAAAGATATATAGACACAGAGAGAGGAAGCAAGGATAGGAAACCTTTATCCTTGAGGTCATCTTCCGAAAACCTGCAGCATTCAGACGACCTTTGTGGTGATTGAATAGTAATAACTGGCTGAGAGAAGGTCAAGACGCAGAGAAAGGTCATGGGAGGGAGGAAGGAGGGAGGGGGCAGGGGGGAAGGGAGAAGGAGAGGGAGGGAGGAAGGGAGAGAGAGATAAGGATATATATATATATATATAGATAGATAGATAAATAGATAGATAGATAGATAGATAGATAGATAGATAGATAGAGAGAGAGAGAGAATGAGTGAGTGTGTGTGTAAGTGTGTGTGTGAGTGTGTGTGTGTATGTGAGAGAGAGAGAGAGAGAGAGAGAGAGAGAGAGAGAGAGAGAGAGAGAGAGAGAGAGATAGATAGAGAGAGAGAGAAAGAGAGAGAGACAAAGAGAGAGAGAGAGAGAGAGAGAGAGAGAGAGAGAGAGAGAGAGAGAGAGAGAGAGAGAGAGTGAATGAGTGAGTGAGTGAGAGAGAGGGAATGTGTTAATCTAACAATCCGGATGGCGTTTAAGTATGAAAACAAACACGGCTTTTGGCTACATGTAAAATCAGAACGTTTTACGGCGATTCTCTTCAGAATATAATAATATAGACAAAATATAAGCAAAGCAAAGGCATTCATGCATACAACTAGATAGTTAAAGAAGCACACACACACACACACACACACACACACACACACACACAGACATATTGACGGATAAGCATAAATAGATAGATAAATAGATCAATAAACAGTCAAACAAACAAACAAAAAGAACCACAAACAAACAGAGCCACAAATGAACAATCAAACAACAAAAAAAAACAAGAAAAACAAACCGACAAGAAAAGTTTAGAAAGAAAGAACTTATTACCTTGAGATGTCTTGCATGGGACACCGAATACTTGCCCTCGGAGGAATAAACTTGGCCTCCAGCTGTTAACAGGTGATCCTCGTCCTTCTTCAGCCAAGAGACCTGAAGGAAGAAAGGAAGGAAAGGGATTAATCTAATTTGGTTTGATTTTATTTGGTTTGGTTCGGTTTTATGGGTTTCATTTGGTTTGGGTTTCACTTGGATTGATTTGGTTCGGTTTGATGTGGTTTGGTTTCGTGGGTTTGATTTGATTAGGTTTGATTTGGTTTAATTCGGTTTTATGGGTTCCATTTAGTTTGATTTTGTACGGTTTGATTTGATTTGGATCAGTTTTATGGGTTTGGTGTGGTTTGGTTTGATTTTGTTTGGTTTAATATGATTTGATTTGGTTCGATTTGATTTGGTTTGGTGCTATGGGTTAAATTTGGTTTGGTTTGATTCGGTATGATTTCGTTCGGTTTGATTTAATGGTGATCCTCTTTCGGAGTGCTAGGGATAAACGTAGTAATTATGATAGTAATGGTAAACTTATTGCCGATAATGGCGATGAAAATAGCAATAGCAATTTTAGTGATGGTAAAAATCGATGATAAAAACAATAAAACCAATATAAAAGAAAGAACTACAACAGCCTTGACAAGAACAATAACAGAAACAAAACCGACAAATAACGAAAAGTCAAAACAACCGAGAAACGCGTGAACACAAGCGGAAACGTAATAAAGATAGAGAGATGAGAAGAAGAGGTTGGTATTCAGCTGAACTGGAGTTTGTCGCTCGCTGATGAAGGCTCAGTGTAGGAAAACGGAAACGGGTTGGGATGGAGGGAATATGAAGGACGGGGAGAGGGGAGGAAGGAAGGAAGGAAGGGGAGAGGGAACAAGGGAAGGGGAGAGAGGGAGGAGGATGGCAGAATGAGAAGAGAGAGGAGGAGGGAGAGATGGGGGAAGGCGGAAGGGAGGAAGGGGAATGAGAGAAGAAAGGGGGGAAGGAGGGAAGGCGAGAGAGATGGAAAAGGCTACCAGGAAGGAAAGAGGGGAAAAGAGAGAGAAAGAGTGAGGGAAGATGGGAGAGGAGAGTGAGGAAGAAAGAGAGCGAAGGAGGATAGAGAGGGAGGAGGGAGAGACGGGGGAAGGTGGAAGGGAAGAAGGGAGTGAGAGAGGAAAGGGAGAAAGGAGGGAAGGTGGGAGAGAGGGAGGAGGATGGCAGGGAGAGAAGAGAGAGAAGGAGGGAGAGATAAGGGAAGGCGGAAGGGAGAAAGGGGAGTGAGAGAGGAGAGGAGGGAAGGAGGGAAGGGTGACAAGGACGAAAGAAGAGAGAGGGGAAAAGAGAGAGAGAAAGAGTGAGGGAAGATGAGAGAGGAGAGTGAGGAAGAAAGAGAGCGAAGGAGGATAGAGAAAGAGGGAGGACGCGGAAGCAAGACTGACTAGAAGGATTATGAAGTAGAAAGAGAGAGGGAAGGAGGGAAGGAGGGAATTTAAGAGAGAGGCAGGAGGCAGGAAGGGAAGGTGGGAAGGAGAGAGGACAGAATATGGAGAGAGAAGGAAGGAGGGAAGGAGGGAAGATAGGAGGGAGGCAGGAAGGGAAGGTGGGAGGGAAAGCCTACAGCGAGAGAGAAATAAAATTGTGCAGCGCGTGAAGTGGCTGGGATGGAGATACGAATGCAACTGCACTTTATTGAAAGCCCAGGAAAAGGGGACGTGAAGAATCGAAGGAATCAGGAGCATGGATAAATGGCGTGGAAAGAGGAGGGAAGAAGAGACAGAAGAAGAGAGAGAGAGAAGAAGAAGAAGAAAGGAAAGGAGATATGGCTGCTAAAGAAGAGAAGAAAGACAGTATGACGCGAGGGACATAATGGAAAAGGAGAAAAGGAAAAGAAAGAACGATAAGAAAGGGGAAGAGGGAAGGAAAGGAAAGGGAAAAGAAATAGAGGGAAAGAGTTAAAGAAAAACAGCAAGAGAGGGGGAACGATATGTCTGTATTTACATATCTATATATCATCTGTCTATCAGTTGTATTTTTATCTATCTGTCCGTCCATCGATCTATATATCTATTTGCCTGCCTACCTACCCATCTATCCACCTACCTACCTATCTGTCTATCTATCTATCTACCTGTCTACTTACCTATCTATCTCTCTGCCTACTTACTCATCTATCTATCTATATACCTACCTACTTAACTATCTATCTATCTATCAACCTACTTACTTACCCAGCTATCTATTTATATATCTATCTAACCTACCTACCTATCTACCTATCCATCTATCTATCTACCTACCTACCTATCTATATCTGTCTGCCTATCTATTTATCACTCACTCCACACACACACACACACACACACACACACACACACACACACACACACACACACACACACACACACACACACACACAACACACACACACACACACACACACACATACACACACACACACACACACATACACACACACACACATACACACGCACGCACACGTGGTTCCCAATAG